CCCAGGGGACGTGGAGGTGCGGGCTCAGCGCGGCCAGCCCCGCGGAGTCGCTGTCTGTCTGGATCGCAAAGCCTGCAAGGAGGGATCCCCTCCTGAGAGGGCCCTTTGTCGGGACCCAAGTGGAGCCAGGGAGCAGGGCCTCCATCAGTGCAGGCTTCCCCGGGGAACGGTGGGACAGAGCCCAGGGTAAGGAGGAAGGCCGGAGCGTGTGAAAAGACTTACCTTGTCTGCTTAAGTCAAGGACAGGGTGGGCGCCAGGACAAAAGTGGGCAGGTGGCAAGGCCAGAAGAAAGAGATGGGGCAGGGCCATCAGGCTCCTGGGCTTCACCTGGGGCACACCTGCACACAGGCTCCGGGGAGCGTGAGCCTGTGCACAGGGCCCCAGACCTGTGTGTGACCAACACAGAGGCCTGTTCTGCAGGTGGGATGTGGGGCCAGCCACACCCACCTTGCACATTCCAGTCAAGAGATTGAGTGTGGCCCGGAGGTGTCAACAAAGGCAACTGAGAGGCAGAGGCTGGAGAAAGGAAGTCTGGAGATTACACCAAGAAGACACAGTAAAATAAAAAGAAAAAAGAATAATTAAAAAAGACTGAGAGCCAGGCGTGGTGGCACAGGCCTGTAATCCCAGCACTTGGGAGGCTGAGGCAGGATCTTTGCAAGTTCGAGACCAGCCTGGGCTACAAAGTGAGCTGAAGGCCAGCTTGAACTGCACAGCGAGACCTTGTCTCAAAAAGACCAAAAAAAAAAAAAGAAGAAAAAAAGTGATTCTGTTGTGTGGACATCACAGTGATGGTTATGATATCAGTAGCCAATCTTTCTGTGTGTGCCGGCAATCGAACCCAGGCCCTCACACTCTACTACTGAGCTGCACCCTCTAACCACAATAGTCAATATAATCTTTTTTAGGAGATCCTGGGCAGGATCCCGGTTTGTCTTTGCCAGGTCCCTCTGCTGTGTCAAGGCCCCTTGTGTTCTGCCTACTAACCTGCTCTTCCTGCCACAACCAGACCTTCTCTGCCCTGACACCTGACCAACAGAACCTAGGATGCCAGGACTGGGAGAGGATGCAGGTGTGGGAAACATCAGCTTGACTCTCAGGAGGGTTAGGGTGGCTGGGAGGAGCCATGGGGTCCCTGGCAGAGAGTGGTCTAGTTTGGCCTGGAGAGGGCAGCCTGTTTGGGCCAGGAGCGGGGTGGATGAACGTGGGAGCCCAGATCCCCCATGGCTCGTTTGACTCACCTGGGGAGAAGAGGCCCCCAGCTTCCTCATGCCACAGGGCCCGAGGCTGCTCCCTCCAGGAGGGCCCCTCACGCCCAGTGTCACTGTGCCAGGAGGTCAGCTCCAGCACAGTCCTGTAGCCCTGAAACCACAGTGGTCATAGCTCATCCGCCAGGTGGGCACAGGGAAGGACCTATGGTACCCGCTGTGGAGGCTTGGGGCAGGGGATGGGTCACATCCTGTGTGGGGCTCACCTGGGCCTCCTCAGGTAGGAGAGTGGGTGCAGGTAAAAGCCCAGACTCCAGCAACTCTAGGGAGAGAAAGTGGGGTCAGATAGCCTGAGAACATTCCCACCCCAGCGCTCTTCTCAGTGGTACGACAGGCGCCAACATCCAGGTGCTAACCCGGGCAAGAGGGAAACCTGGGTGAGAGTTGAGGGCTGGAGAGGGCAAGGTGGGCCAGCTGAGAGCCTTGAGTGGGCATGGAGTAAAGGAGAGGACATTAGAAGCCCAGGGAGCAGGCTTCTGAGGGCCGGGGTGGGCCGAGGTTGAGCCTCTACAGCCCTGTGCACCCAGCAGGGCCATGTGTGTATGTGCACCCAAGAATGGTTGCTTGTGGGGGTGGGTGCAGGCAGAGGGCATACCCCTAGAGCTGCAGGATCCTGCCACAGCAGCACCTACCTGGACACCAGCGGGCTCCCTAGCTGCCAATGCATGCCCCTCACTGATCTGATACAAGTAAATCCTAGAGTCCACAGGTGTGGGACACATATGCGTGACTCTCAGGAGGGTTAGGGCGGCTGGGAGGAGCCACGGGGTTCATGGCAGAGAGTGGTCTGTAGAAGATGGGGAGAGTTGTGGAAATGGGGCTGTAGCTTGTAAGGGACAGAGATGGTTGCACTGGAAGGGAAACCTGACTGGGTGGGAGGTGAGGCCAAGGGCACATGGAAACCATTTCGTCCCGCAGGCCCAGCCCCCTTTGCCTGGCCTCACCTGGCTTCTCTGTAACCTCTGGCTCCTCTTTCACCTGAAAGCCCAGCGGCAATTGCTGCACAGCCCCAGGAGGTGTCTCAGGTCCAGGGTCTGGAGTTTGAGGCTTGGCTTGAGGTGGAGGCTGGAAGCTGGAAGGCTCCATCTTCTCTGACAGGACCTCCTGGCCCTGCACCTGGACTGTGACCTGGGGAGATGCCCCCACCAAGCAGAGAGTGGGACTGGGCACAAATGGGGTGGGCTCATGGGCACCACTCCATTGTAGGACCCGAATCGGCCTGGTCAATACTGACTGACAAGATTCTTCAGAATCGTACCTCTCAGCCAGGCACGGTGGCACAAGCCTGTAATCCCAGCACTTGGGAGGCTGAGGCAGGAGAATTGTTGCAAGTTTGAGAACAGCCTAGGCTACAAAGTGAGCTCAAGCCTAGCCTGAACTGCATATCAAGACTGTGTCTCAAAAAGGCAAAAAAAAAAAAAAAAAAAAATCCTGTCTCTTGTAGGCCTGGAGCAAGGAGCAAAAGGACCACTTGTGGGTACTCTCCGTTACTGACACCTAGAGCTGCATAGTGCCCTCCCTCTCTCCCCTTACCCTGCAGCCCATATATACAGAAAATTTCAGCTAATGCAGGAATGGGCTGTGGAGAACCCTCCTGCCCTGAGCAGCCTCACACAGGGTCTCTGGTGTAGGTGGCCACTTCTGTAGTCTGTGTGTGTGTGTGTGTGTGTGTGTGTGTGTACCCGCATGCGCATCTGAACACAGCAGTCTCCAGTGTAAGGCAAAGCAAGACAATGCTCTAGCCCTGACCTTCCAGGCAGGCCACTGACTCACCCATCTCCGAGGCCTGCCCAGCTCCCACCGGAGCCTGTCGACTAAGGCAGCAGCCTCTTCAGGGCTACTTGGCTGCTGCTCCTGCACGTGGGCCTGAATCTCAGGGGGCAGCACACCCAGGAACTGCTCCAGCACCAGGAGCTCCATCATCTGCTCTTTAGAGTGCAGCTCTGGCTGAAGCCACTGATGACATAGCTCTCGAAGCTGGGCCAGGGCCTCTTGGGGACCCACTGCGTCCTCATAGCAAAATCCCCGAAAGCGCAGGCGGGCAGCCTCAGGTGCCAGGTCCCACAGGGCCGCCTCTTCCTCTTCCCCAGAGTCCTCCAGCTTCACCACGACAGGTTCATCATCTTCTTGGGGTCCTAGCATGCTGGGCCTCATCAGGATCACCAGGTCAGGTCTGCAAGGTCAGTGTCTGTACCTAGCGAAGGAACAGAATGAGGCTGCTGCAGTAAGGAGACTGGCAGTGAATGCATCTTGAGGATGCACTGTATGCTGCGCTGTTCAATCCTCAGAACCGCCCCCACATGGAAGGCAGATGAGGACACCGAGACAGAGATTACACCCCAGAGACTGTTCTCCTGCCCTTTTCTCCAGACTGGCCTGTGCACCCCGCTCAATACAGCCTGCTAAAAGCTGGGCATGGTGTAGAAGTCCTGTAATCCCAGCACTCTGGAGGCTGAGGCAGGAAGATTGTAGGGAGACCCTGTCTCAAAAAAACAAACAACCCAGTTGAACTGAACTGAACCAAACCAAACCAACAATAAAACAGCCAGGCTGTTTCTTAGATAACACCTCTCTGTACTATATCCTGCTGTTCAATAGTAGTAACCTCCAGCGGCACAGCGCCTGCCTGGCAAGCGAGAGGTCGTGAGTTTGATTCCCGGTACCGGAAAAATACCAAAAAAAAAACCAAAAAAAATTAGTAACCTCATTTTTTTTTTTTTTTTAAAGTAACTTCATCCTTGCCCTCAGCTCTCCCTTTACTTGGTGGATGGCACCTGTGCCACCTACAACCTGTTATCAGCGCCACTGCTGCCTCCTGTTCCCAGCACCAGCCAGTCAGTGAACTTTCAATGCTCCTGCTGCATCTCTCTCAGACTTGACCCCTCATCCAGGCCCCACTATCATTCACTCCTAGCCTGGCCCCAGGGCCACTTTCATGCCATCCGGTCCCCCATCCTAACCTGTGTGACCCTACCAAGTGCCCCCACCCAAGCCCAACTCTTCATGCCACAAAATGCTCCTCAGGTCCCTGAGGTGGGGGTGAGGACCTCTGGGCCAGGAGTCTGCAAGGATAGCTCAAGATTCTGATCCCGCCCGTTTCAGGCCGCTGCGCCTCTGAACCGCAGTTTTCCCATCTGCAAATGGGGCTGCCTCCTCCCTCCTAGCACGGCCTTCGTGACAGTCTGAGTATATTAATAGGATGGCACAGCAGTCATCCGCCCTCCGGTGTCATCGACTTCGAGGGCTGCCTGATAGCAAGGGTAAAACCTCATTCTTCAAGATTACAGGTCGATTTGAAAACCTAGGAGAAACTTGGGTCACCCTCAAGCCGGCCAGTCGGGGCGAGAGTTCCGGAAATACATTTCCCAGAAGCCTTGGTCTACAGCTTCTGGCTCGGGCCTCTGGCGCCGCCATAGCAACCATGGGCGGGTCTTCCGGAGCCTGTCGTCGTGGCAATAAGCAGTGACTGACAAGCTACGCGCGAGGCCCGCCTTCTGCGAGAACGCGCTCTCACGGGCTCTCCCGGCAGCAGGAGCCTCCGAGTCCACCCTCTCCTCCCAGCCCTTCCCAAACCTTCCCGAGGGGAAAGCCCCCGCCCTCACCTTAGCGGCCAGCGCTCAGCGGGGCACGCTTCATTTACGAGCATGCGCGCTCGCTGTGCTCCGTCGGCAGCGGACTACGTCTCCCAAGATGCTCCGCGCCCACTCAAGCGACCCTCCCCTTCCCCCGTTGTCCCGCCCCCTGGGTTAGCGGTGGCTGCAAGGGTCAGGACGCGCTCCAGGCTGTCTCTTCCACGCTCTCCGCCTCCAATGCAAGGGTCCCGCCCCCGTCGACCTACGCAAGCTTCTTAGGGGGCAACTGACGGCGGTCCTTCCTGGGATTTGCAGTGTTTGTGTTTCGCACCAATCATGGCCCTCACAAGTATGCCGTCAGCCTCGTCGTCTGTATGGTAACCGCCTTCCGGGGAGGGGTTTCTCCTTCGCCATCTTCGGGATACGGAGCTCAGAGATTCTGCGCCGTGCTTTCTGGGACATGTAGTCGGCGAAGTGTCTGTGCGCGTGCGCCGCGATGGGAGACGCGTCTGTATACCCGGCAGTGAGTGGGCCAGAGCGTCTCCATGGTAATCAGAAAACTGACCTTTTAGTCTCCAGGCTGCACCGCAACCAGCTTGAATTTGAAAAGCTAGAGCGTTGGACCCAACCAGGATAGAGATGCCGAGCGGGAGAGATAGAGACAGATACCGGCCAGGGACAGGGGCAGCCCAGAGATGGCCAGGGCAGAGATACTTCGGAGGGCGTAGTAGAGCAGGTGGCAAGAGGGAGAGAGGTCGCAAAGGGATGCTGTTAGGGTTTGTGTCTGTGTGTCCCCCCAAAGCCTCATGCGGTCATGAGGCAGGCTTTCAGAGTCTGATTGATTGTGGGTGTGAGAGCTACACCAACCCTGGGGCGGATACTTTGCATATGTAAGGGAGAGGAGGAGGCTGCTTGCCGCTATTCCTCCCTTTTGTGCTTGTTGGTTTGCTGTGTTCGGCCGCCATGAGCTGTAGTCCTCTGACATGTGCCACTCTCCCTTGTAACCTGCCAAATATGGGCTGAAACGTCCAGAAATCGTAACTCAAATAAACCTTTCCTTCTTTAATTTTGGGCGTCACGGTTAGGGTTTGGGGTTTGGGTGTTAGGGTGTTAGGGTGTTGGGTTAGGGTTAGGGTTAGGGTTAGGGTTAGGGTGTTGGGTTAGGGTGTTGGGTTAGGGT